GGTTGACATGTTGTGGGGTTGTTAACTAAAGTCATAAAACAATATGTGTACTACTGTTTCATGAGAAACTATTTGTTCTGTAAGCCTTCACCTGACGTACAATAATAAATAAATAAATAAATAAATAATAGATAAATCCCCCCCCAAAAAACCCCAAGAGTATGGTCCCCAGACACCTTTTCAGCTCAGTAATGAAGTCATTCCCGAGGTCCACCCTTCAGCCAAAGATTAGACAGGCCCATAAAACAAAACGAGACTAAATGGGCACACCAGCCCAGAAGCAAGGACTAGAAGTCAGGAGGGGACAGGAAAGCTGATAATAGCGAACCCAAGGTCAAGAAGGGAGAGTGTTGACATGTTGTGGGGTTGTTAACCAATGTCATAAAACAATGTGTACTAACTGTTGAATGAGAAGCTAGTTTGTTCTGTAAATCTTCATCTAAAGTACAATAAAAAAAGAAGAAAAACCCTGTGTGGTGCAGTTAACACACTTGTTTGCTAACTGAAAGGTTGGAAGTTCTAGGCCACTCAGAGATGCCTTGGAAGAAAGACCTGGCAATCTATTTTTGAAAAATCAGCCATTGAGAGCCCTATGGAGCACAGTTTTACTCTGACACAGATAAGAGCTGCCATGAGCTGCAGCAGACTCCATGGCAACTGCTTTTAAATCAGCTTACCAGTTTGTTTAAATTAAGGCCTTTGGAATTTGGGTCCCGTCCAATGGCCCACAGCAGGCAGTCAACATCCGGAATCGTCGTAACAGCGGGTTTCCTACCAGGAGCTGAAGTAATCACACTGAGTTCCAAGCCTGATGAGGTCTTTTTAACTTCCTTGACCTATTGGCAAGTAAAATGTATTTAAATGGGAAAAAAAATTTTAAAAAGGAAAGCCAATAAAGATGAAAGTAGTATTCTTAATATTAAAACAAACAAACAAACAAACAAAAAAACTTCCAGTGAATTCTACATGCTGATGTAGGCATTTACTTTTGCTCAAAGGCTATCAAGACTAGAACTCCCTAGGGCTGAGCCAGTTTCCAAGGTTGTCCCAAATCACCCAGCTGA